AGTTTGGATGTCAGAGATAGAAATGTAATTAGTCCATGTAAATTAGCCATTTCTGATTATACGAAGAAACTATTGTTTTTCTTTTCTTCTTTCCCCTATGCACAACTCTAGCTTACAGAGTATTTGAAAAGTATATGGGGGCTCCTGGGTTGCTCAGTCTGTTGAGCATCTGACTCTCTTGATTTTGGCTCAGGTCATGATCCCAGGGTTGTGGGATCAAGCAGCGCATGGGGGTCCCTGTTGAGTGTGGAGCCTGCTTAAGATTCTCACTCTCTCATTCTCTCTCTCTCTCTCTGTCTGTCTTTCTATCTCTCTCCCAACCAAAGCAAAACAAAACAAAAAGATACATGCAGTGAAATTTCAGATTTTATATACACTCTGGAGTTTAAAGTTGATTGTCATTTCCATCCATTCGTTCTGATCATATGAGCTTATCCTATATTTTACTACCCCTGTTTTTCCATTGTCATTGCCCTGTCTTGGTCTCCTCTGGAATTCTTACTGAGAACTTAGAATGGTCTGAGAACAAACAGCACAACAGGTGGTCAGCATCTTGTGCAATATGACCTTCCCACCCCCCCCACCCCCCACCAGTTCTCAGTGCACAGCTGGCTGCTGCTAGCTTTAATGACATGGAGAACACCACAACTAGTGCTCCTTGACTTACATGACTTTTGCTGTTTTCGTTATTTAAATGCATCCTTCAGGACATGGCAACAGGTCAGCTTGTCGTGGCATGAATCAGTAAACCCAGTCCTAGAACTTAGTGTTTTCTCACATTCATGGAACCCAATTCTGAAGCAGTTACTAGAGGTCAAAAGTATGATGTTACATGTCTAGAAGGTGCTTCTACCGAGATAGCCTAGTATGTTTCCACAATGCTGCTCTAAGTTATCTGGACGGCATTTATTTTTTAGGTTATAAAAATAGACTTCATGTAATATACTGCCATCTTGTAACTTGCCATTATAAATGCTATATTCATAAAAACTTATGTATCCATGGCAATAAGAGACAAAATGAATATGAATCAAGGAATCTGAATTGATCTTCAAAAAAATTTCCAGCCTCAAACTGGTCAGCAGATTTCCCCAACTTAACCTTTCTTTTTTTCCTCCTCTCTCTCACTCACTCTCTAGTGGACATAGGTAAAGAACAAGGGGGCTGCCCAAGACAGTATGCAGCAGCGTATACAGTGGAGATTTCCTCAAAGAATGTGGCCAACACTCTAGTTTGATGCTTCTCAATATCTACAGGTGCACTGTGACCACAGACTGTATTCACAACCCCAGACTGGGCACTGTCCCTTCTTTGTTCACTAACACTGCTCACTCCAACAAAGGTATTTAAAAGGAAAAAATTCAGGAGCATATCTCTGTTTCAAGGAGATTTTGCAAACAAAATTCTAAGAAATAGCATTTGTATGGATACTGAATATAAATATCCAGTGAGCATTTAGGTAAGACTTATTAAGAGTTATTTTGATTATCAAAGTGCAAAACTTTGCTAACATCCTAAATTTAAAGCTCTGCTGAATCTTGTAATGTATTGGCATGTAAATCCTATTAAGAATAGAGGTTTATTTTTATTTTGTGCTTTAGAAACCAACCAAGAATAGAAGATTATTCACTGAAAACAGTTTATAGGATTCAAGGACATTGACTGAAAAGAAGTATTGTGATCGTCGAAATTGGATATGTTTGACAACTCAATGTTTCAACTATAAAACTTTCCAAAATTAGATCTATAAAATTGGAAACTCTACTACACATCTGCTGTAATTACTGTGCTAGTTCATAAATTAGTACAGAGGAATAAAGGCCCAAATATTCTCTTTTAAGAACATCTTTGATTTTTAATATTGTCATACTCAGAATTGCATGTTCAGTCATGAGGCAGATACTCATTGAGAGCCTACTGTGTGCTGCAGAGATGAACCAAACATGGTCCTCTGGCTTCTTGGAGTCACATGAGAAAGTAAACTATGACATTGTAATTAAATAGGGACTAATTCAGTGTCCTTTTTTCCCTCCTACCAACTAGAATGTAAACTCCACTGAGAACAAGAATTTTGCTCACCAGTGTGCCCTCAGTGTGCCAGAATATTACCTGGCACATTGCAAGTGCTCATAAATACTGGTTGAATGGAGTCATTGTTAGAGAAGGTATTAAAGAAGGAGGGTAGAGGAATAAGGAAGAGACTTTCCAGGAGGTGGTAAACCTTAAACTCAATCTAGAAGCTCTAAATGGAAAATAATTTGAGTAAAGCTTACAGGGGCCTTATATACCTGCTTAAAGCTGTGTGGGGCTTTTTTTCTTTTCACTTGATTTTTATTGTGTTTTTTGTTTTGGTGTGTGTGTGTTTGTCTTGAAACATGCCTAAGGTTGAGTCAAAGAAATACTACTTTGACAGCCTAAAATAGTAAACAAGCAGTTTGAATCTTGGGATGCAGCAAACCTTCTTGAGACACTTCTCTCCATCTCTGCGTGTTTCACTTGCACTACGGCTGTATCCAAAAGCTATCTTCCTTCTGCGCTAATGCCTAATGAAATCATCCTCCAAACCAGCCCATCTTAACAGAGAGAGAACACTTCTATCATGTTTCTGTCCCACCGTATCGTTAGATCGGTCCCCTGATTTCTGTCAAAATCGGTCTAGAGTACGTATTTTGAAACTGGAACAGCCTTTGTTACAAAGCCTACATTACTTTGTGGCTTCAATACGTTCTTATTTTAACCCCGTGGTGAATCGTGCCTAGATAACTAACCCCATCAAGCTGACTTGTAGAATCCAAGCTAGATCTACTACACTGTATACATCAATCATCTGCAGATGCTACATTTAGCAAACCATTCATTCAGAAAGTTGGGATTAGGCCGATGCACTCAAGGTTCATTTCCTGCTGCAAGGCAACACAAAAGGTTGGGTTTTTTTGAAATCTTTGTTTAAATGTTCCTTTCTCCAGACTATTAGCCTGGAACCCAGTGTAGACATTTTCTGAATGTATGACAATCATTTCCTAGTTTGACAGTACTTCATTGACTAGCCACAGGTCATGACTATGGCTTCACGACTAAAGTTGTACTATGCTGTAACATCCCTTCAGTTGGGAAGATGTGTTATCAAAAATTGGAATCACTAGAAAACATAAGAGTGGTGGTCCCACAGACTGGTGTAAGTGAAAGGAGGCTATAAGAGGGGTTTGCTCAAGTGAACAGCCCTGATCTGGTCCATCTGAATGTGCTTGAATATGTTGGTCAAAAGTCTCCTTTCAGAACATCACTATACGAGAGACTATTGATAGACTTTGCATGTCCAGTTATCTCAAAACTTGGACTATGTTTTGGCTGGAGAAGGCAAAGGACATAAAAATAAGTCAATAACTGACAAGTAAAACCTAAAGTGCACAAAGAGATACAGTTTGCTGTGAAATACCCTGGTTATTTTTTTAACGGAATTCATTTTGATGGGCAAATATCTATAAGAAACTCAGGAGAATAAATCTGAGCCTACATAATGATTAAGTAATTTGGGGGGAAGGGTGTTCATTTTTTAAAACTTGGAGTCAGAGCCATCAAACTAATGTTGCATCAAAATGTTTTAGGTCCAAGGATTTTGTTCTCTTGTACTGTGATTGAATGTCAAAAGCCATGTGTAAATGATGAATAAAAGTCATGAGCTGAAACCAGAAACGCACCCATGTCAAGAACTACTTGCCCTTCCGGGGCCAAGTTAGAAATGAAAGTTTTCAGAAAAGATATTCGAGGGAACACAAGTATCCCTCTCTTCACCTGATTCAGAATCTTGGAAACTTTTCGATTTTTCGCATCTGGGAATTATATTGGGCGTCAGTGATACCTGGCAGCTCTTGCCTAAGGGGGACCAGAATGGGTAGGCATTTTCAAGCAGGTACATTTTCAGTGTAATAACAGCTATAGCAATGCACAGTAACTCTTTTGTTAGGTTGGGTTTATCTCCTTCACACTCCTTTTTCTTCCTCAATTTGAGTCTCACACTCTCAGGAGATACAAAAGGACAGGAAGAAATCTCTGCCCCCCAGTGCTCTTGCTGCAGTCTTGTCTGGATGTCTTTTTTAAGCCTTGCCTCCTGACTCACCATCCCTTCAAAACAGCCTTCTAGATCTCATTGGTTCTAGAGTTAAAATTGTCTTGTTCTTCTGAGAACCTTTGCAAGTATCCTCTGTTCCAAGGCTTCTCCAAAGCTTGAAACCCAGTTCTGCTTAATTCACATTCACCCTAGGCTCACCCATAGCTTTAGACCCTGGATAATTTTGGATGTGTTAGTTTTCTATTCATTGAGAGGAAAAGTGTAAGCTAAATATAGAGAAGTAACAAGATTTGTGTCGATCAAGCAGCCATTATATGCCACATCCTTATATTTGACTCTTAACATGCATTCTCTGTTACCTTCAGAAAAACCCAACAAGCTAGCTTCCATATTCCACTTTTATAGAATAGCAATTGCACCCTCAATTAAATTGTTCAAAGTTGAGCAGCTGGGAAGAGGTGGAAATAGGATTGAACTGTTCTCCGTCTGATATCATAAATTCATGACCCTGGCCACCGGTGATATTACCCACTACAGGTTACAATGACAAATGCTTTGATTTCTGAAGATAACATTGAAGTATTACTGCACTATTGGTCTTTACTAACAATTTAATGATTTTACCTGTATCCCCCCTGTACACACTTAATAATCATCCAAATAGAAGTCCTTAACCCCTTATAATTCTACATCATTAAATATGTTATTTTTCTCTTCCAACAACAATCCTGCTTTACGGTTTTTGTTTTTTGTTTTTTTTTCCTTTCACCTTCTAGGTAAAACAGCTTCCCTCCATTCTGGTGTATGACTTCTTATCACAGATGTTACTAAGGAATAGGTTAGGTTGTGCTGAGGTAACAAATGACCTGACCTCAATGATTGCACATCACAAACATTCATTTCTCTCTCCCACCACAAATTTCCATTCCAGGCTGGAGGGCTCTTCTCAAGGTGTCTGCTCTCTGGGACCCCGGCTGTTGGAGCACCATCCATGGAGACTCTTGGCTGATCTTTTGATGCAGGGAAAATAGATCACCATGGAGGACAGGCTGGCTCTAAAAGGATTCCCTTGGAAGGGACACAAGTTACTTGTATTCATGTCATTAGTCAAATTGATTCCTATGGCCAACTCTGACATCGATGAAGCAAAGAAATACAGCTCACCCCCAGGGAGGACCAAAAATTTGGGAAGTTTAGTACTGTCTACGGGGTTAGATACAAATGCTGGGCATTTCCTAAAAGTACGATTTTTCTAATCTTTTCAGTGGTAAGTCAAATAAAACTTCAGAGAGAGAGAGAAGTATAGAAGGCAAGACGAAAAACGTCTGCAAGGTATTTTCTCAAAGGCGACTTCTACAGAAATGGCCTCCAGGATTCCTGTCCTTTCACAAATAGATATCTTCACCTTAATTACTTCTGCTAAAATGGATTTGAGTCATTATCGACAGGGAATTTATATGCTTCACCATTGCCTTTTGAATTTAGAACATATATTTAGAATTTGGAATCATGTTCTCTGATGTCAGTTCTTCAGCTGATTTTTTTAATGTGTTATATGAGCAAATGTAGATTGTAACTATAAACACAGTGCAAGGAAAAGGCAGGCCCATCTGTCTTTTCCAAACTTGATTAGGGAAGGTTGCGCAGACAATACTTTTGGTATGGTTTTAAAATTAAGGTTAAGTTGCTTTGAAGCCAATTGATTTATTCATTTTGAGGGTTAGGATCAAACAAACTGAAAAAAATAAACACATTCCCAAAGACACATTATGTTGCTACTTTAAAACCACATTTAGGGGCACCTGGGTGGCTCATAAGGTTGAGCATCTGACTTGGGCTCAGGTCATGATCTCATGGTTCGTGAGTTCAAGCCCCGCATCGGCTTTGTGCTGACAGCTCAGAGCCTGGAGCCTGCTTCAAATTCTGTGTCTCCCTCTGTCTCTGTTTTTCCCCTGCTCGCACTCTGTCTCTCTCTCAAAAATAAGTAAACATTAAAAAATTTTTTTAAATAAAAAAAACAAAACCACAATTATTTTTCAGTTGCACAGGAAATACATGTGATATGGAGAGCTTTCCTCCTCTGACTTTGGTGACAGAGATTTTGAAATGGCTGACAGTTCTATTACTTGTAGTTAATACTACTACTAAGAATCGAACTACTAATAAGAATAAGAGAGAGTAGTCTGTATACTATCAAGCACTGGATAAATGAAAAAAGTTAGTTATATTACATAAATCTACGTGGCGTAAATAAAAGTAAATTCAATAGTGACTGCATGAAAAAAGTACCTTTTTCATTTGTTCTAAGTCTGATTTTAATAATTAAGCTAAAAGATTGTTCTATCAAGTAATAAACTTAATTAAATGATCCAGTGACCAACAAGTACCAGACCAGCCTTGTTCTACTCCACCTCCCATCACTGCAGGAAATAGATAAATGCAAAAAGAAAGAAAGAAAGAAAGAAAGAAGAAGAAAGAAAGAAGGAAGGAAGGAAGGAAGGAAGGAAGGAAAAGAAAAAAGAAATCAAGTAAATACTAAGATGCTGGGTTAATTGAGAAAGAGTCTTGGAAAAGCCTTCAGTGGCTCTGATGAAGAAAAATTTTAAAGGAAAAGAAAATAGGAAATTCCAGGTGTACTTACAAAACCACAAGTAGATTTTGACCTAGAGAGAGCAATAAACATGCAGGTTGGGCTGTTAGAGTCCCTGGGCTAGGTACTTAACGTTTTCAGTCTTCACAGTGCTGCTGGGTGGGAGTGGGGGCTCTACGGGAGGGGAAGAGGGCTTATAGCAGTTGGGTAATTTGCCCAAAGTTTCTGTTCATACATCCGTGGAGCCAAAGTTAATTAAATCCATACATCTATTCATTCCTTCAACAAATACTTACTGAGTGCTTTCTAGGCCCTATTCTAGGCCCTAAGAATACTTCAGTGCACGAGAGAAAAACTTGCCTGTCCTAACGGAGCTGGTATTTCCACAACATTCACTGTTTTCTATTTTGTTTTTACTCTTGGAATGTTCTGGTGTTTTTTTTTTTCTTTCCAAATAAAATATTACATGACTGTATTCCTCTCCACATAAAGCAGATGAAAATAAAGCTCCTCTGTTGAAGGTGAGGATAAGGGCCTGGGAGCCCTGCTGGATCAGTGTCTCCCCTGTCTCTTCCTTCACGGTGCATATACCTGCTTACAAAGTCCCCGCACCCTGAGATTGCTGCTGCAACAGGAGAGGTAACAGGAAAGGACAAGGGAAGTGGGTCCAGATGCTGAGGAAGCATACGTGCTGGGCTGAAAGAGTAATCTTATGATGTAATTGAATTAGTATTGGAATGAGGGTATTGGCAAGTGGTGAGCGGGATAAGTTTGAGGGAAGTAACTTAAGGCAAGAAGCCCCCATAGGAGGCTATTTAATAGTTTGCCTGAGCTAGTGAGATAGCGGTGGACACCGAGTAGATTCAGAAGGATTTACAGTTGTAATGAATCATCATATAAAGACTGATATCATGCATTATTACCGAGACATATATTGAGGGCAGAGTGTAGGTTTAGGAATTAAGAGAATCCAGGCACATAGGCTGGCCTCAGTACTTTGTAACTTCAGTCACATTCCTAATTTGACCTGAGCCTCAGTGTTCTCATCGGAAAATTTTATTATGTCTATAATAAAACCTATCTAACTGTGAAAATTAAAAATAATGCATGTAAAGTCCCAAGAAGAGTGTAGTTGCCTACAAACTGCCTCCCCAGCCCTACCAGTTTTTTAAAGATATTTTTAAATGTTTATTTATCTTTGACAGAGAGTGAGAGAGACAGAGCGTGAGCAGGAGATGGGCAGACAGAGAGGGAGACACAGAATCCAAAGCAGGCTTCAGGCTCCAAGCTGTCAGCACAGAGCCCATGCAGGGCTCGAACTCATGAACTGTGGATCATGACCCGAGAGGAAGTCAGACGCTTAACCAATGGAGCCACCCAGGTGCCCCCCATCATCATCAATTTTTATAAGATTTTCTTTTGTGGGGTTAAAACAAGTTTTCTTGGTTATTGTTATTATTACCACCACCACCACCACCACCACCATTTTTTCCTCTCTAGTACAAGATTGGATGCTGGGGCACCTGGGTGACTCAGTCAGTTAAGTGTCAGATTCTTGATTTTGGCTCAGGTCATAATTTCAAAGTTTCATGGGATCAGGCTCTGCGTTGGGCTGTATGCTGATGAGTGGAGCCTACTTAACATTCTCTCTCCCTCTCTCTGCCCCTTGCCCACTTGTGTGTGTGCTCTCTCTCTTTTTCAAAATAAATAAATAAATATGGCAATAATGTTTGTAGTAGCAAAAGACTGGAAAAACCTAAATTTCCATCAATAAGGACTGATAAGATAAATTAAGCTATATTCATACAATAGAAGACTATTCAACTAAAAGAAAAAATGAGATAGAAATTTAAATAAAAACGTGTAATGATTTCCAACATAGTTTTTAAGTATAAAAGGAGGATGTATACTCTCTGGAAGAATAACATTAAGGTTTCCCACGTGAGATTTACATTTAGGTTACTGAAAAAGAGGAAAAAAAATGAATTAAATAAAATAGAATAAAAAATGAGTAAATGACATTTTTTTAACTAAGGCTTTTGAAGTGGCCTTCACAGAACATCGACATGGTCATAACCATGCATAGACTTTGAAAATAGCAGTGACAGATGGTAACCAGAGGCTATAGTGTATATGAGTCAAGTTTACAAAAAGCTTGAAGGTTCAGATCGTTCTCTTAAGTATTATTTGTCCATGGAATCACTCCCTGCAGTTAATATCTTTGAACTCAAAGGAGAGGAGTTGGTCTAGCTCTTCAGTGTTGCATAATGGTGTGTGCAAATTGAGTAATCCAAAAGAAATGTAATAAGTTTAAGAAAATTGAACAGATTGAGTTCTCCCTTCCTCTAAGAGCTTGGAATATATAACATCTTCAGAGACCTACAAGTATACATGTATCATATTTAATAGAAGCTGCATACACAAAATTAAGTGCATATTTGAAATATATACTGTGGATGGTCACTGATTTAGGGATTTTTTTTTTTTTTTTTGCAAGCATGTATAACAGAGCAAAACAAAAGACATGTCAAGATAATAGGAAATGCCTAAATCCTGTTTCTCCTTGGGTTGATAGGAGCTGATAATAGTGATGTTTTAGTCATTCTTCGTAAAAGATTATGGAATTATGGTAGCTAACAGATATTGGGCACTTGCTGGGTCCAAGCATGATCCTGAGTGATTTATATATTAGTTAAATCCTGATAACAACTTGATGGGGTAAGTACTTCTGTTTCCCCAAGTGGTTCATTTACTTGCCCAACATCCCACAAGTAATAAGAGGTCAAGTGGGCATTTGAACCTGGGTCGGCTGACACTAGAGCCCTTATTTGTAACTAAGATGCTCGATGTTCTAGGCTTCAGGCGTAACCTCCAAAAGGGAGATGGGGTAGGATTTAGTCAGTTATATAAAGCTATAGGAAAAGCCATACAAGGGACTAGATTTGGGTATAGAAGCAGGAAATGATGATGTGCAGACTTGATGGACAAATTCAGTGACCTATATTTTACTATTAAAATTTTGCCTAGGGCAGTTATTTATTGCCAGACAGTTATTTTTTAATCTGCTTCAAGAGTCTGAGATTAGATTCCTGAGAATGAGTGACTGAGGGGGGAAAAACTGGAAATTTGAACAATGAATACAATGCTGCATAGATAGATAAATTATGAAAGTAATACACATGGATTTTGAAATCAATGAAGAGACTGAAGTTGAGTTAAAGCACTGCTAAGAGTTTTTGAAGAAAATATGCACAGTGCTTTTGATGAGTATAGATTTTGCATTTTTTTCCCTAATCGGTCACCTTATATTATGGGCCAGCCATGAAGTGGACAGAATGTAGTTCACTCTCCAGGATGAGGAGCCGTGAATAGTGAGGTGTTAAATGGTGGAGATTAATGAGCCTTGGCAGGTCAGTGTAGGGGAGCTTGGGTGGCATCTGCTTTCCCGGCAGTGGGTTTAGCTCTCTCCAGTTATATGTGTAAGGGCTAATCACTCAGACTTTCAAGTAGAGAAAAACTTACTGCATCTAAGATGGTATTCTCATTTCAGCATTTGCCTTACCAGTGATGTGAATGAGGACATCCTGTTTTCTGAAAATGTCTTGTTGGTGTGTGTGTTTTAATATACTTTGATGGTGTGACAGTCGGATCACTAACCACTCTATCTAAGTAAGCCACTTTTCTCTGTGACGTTTCCGCACCCTCCAGCCCACCCAGAGCCACCATTATGGTTCCTTCATAGCCTTTGGACAACTTGGGAATGTTTTGGTTACCTATGTTGGTGTCCATTCCCCAATTAAAACAAGCTCTTGAGGACAGGCACCATGTCACTTTTGTTCCCAGCTAGGAATATGCATAATATACCCCTGTAGGTACTTATTGAATATCCAAAATGTCTTATCCACTGAACCTGGAGTAATCAAAAATGTCATCATATACTATTCAAATATCATATCCATAGGTGTTACCCCAAACCCCGAAGTAACAATATTTTTCTAATTGTATATTAAGACTATTAAAGAATTCCTTTGCATTTCTGTCATCACTTTCATTCTGAAGGGAGATCAGCAACTAGAACGCCATGCTTCAGTTTAAGTGTGTTAAAGGTTACCCTTGTGAGGAATGCAGGTCGAAGAGATTACTTGGAGAAGAGGTCACTTCTATGTAAGAGCAAGACAGATCCTAAGAGAATTCCTCTAAGATTGACTTATATGTTTTACTAAAGTGAA